TATATATTCGAACCGGATAGGCCCGAATCCGGACGGGCCCATTAGAACCCGGAATTACCCAGCCCACTAATAACCCGGTATGCCAGCCTACTAATCAGCCCGCCCACTAACTAGACGGGCTATTTTTTCCATGACCAGTTTGGTCCAGCCCGTTCGATAAACACCTTTAATAATTACTCAACGGGTTTCAAAAACCAACATATACACCATATTTAACATGAGTAAGAAATTAAAGCCGGAGATTAATTATGGCTAATTCACTAAAATTTATGTCGATATACATGTCATAAATTATTGTTTTGATGAATGCTCTTAAGCCAATTGTCTATGTGTGTTGGGCTAAAACAGCCTAATGATACTCTTAACATGGTGTGATATTATCCGTTTTGGGCCAAACTCGCACGAGTTTTTCCAAGAGGCCTCACACCATTAAGAGATCCCTACACCTTATAAGTAGGCTCCCAATCTTTTTCAGCTACCAATGTGGGACTTCGTTCGCACACCCAACAATCTTCCCTCGAACTAAGTTCTATGTGGATCACTACCACAATTCACGGGTCTCTCCCCTTCGAACTAAGTTCCATGTGACTCATTGCCACAATCCATAGATCAATTTTTGAGGTTCACTGTGTGCCACCCACATTGTTAGAATATTTATGACAACCGAATCCAGCAACTAGCTTTTTTTTTAATGCACCTCTATACCGAGTCTCGCACATCACTCTGCCATCACCATATTCGTCACACTGAACTTGGGCTATGATATAAGTTGTTAGACTAAAACGTCCAAATAATAATCTTAACATGGTGTGATATTGTCCGCTTTGAATCAAACACTCACGATTTTCTCCAAATGCCTCACACCATTATAAATAGACTTCAGCTACCAATGTTGTACCATGCCCAACAAGGTGATAGTCTAGATGTTGTAGTAAATTACTTGATAAATTTACCAGGTATGTATATGTTGGATCTGACATTATTGTTATTTTTAAAAATATATGATGATAAAGAAATAATAAAATGTACACTTTGTAATCGGTTTATGTGGTACGTTAAGAGTTTGATGCGACAGTGAACGCAAATTTGCACACCACCAACATATATATGGTACGGGTCTTCACTTTATTCAGAATCTCAGACTCCATTTCTTCGTCTAACACGACCCTTTCTCTCCTTTTCTCGCGTTCTCTCTGCCATTGCTCAGGTTCCAAGCAAAGTTAAAGCTCTCTTAATTATAATAACTTTTTTGGCTCTTTTTATGAACTCTTTTGGTTTCTTTTTATGTTTGAAATTCTGTTGATTCTTTTTTTTTTTGGCACCAAAATTCTGTTGATTTTCCTTACAATGATAGGAAATTCAAACTAATGATCCCAATATCTCCTCAAAATGCTTTTCACATAAACTTGCTGAATAATATGCTTAAAATTGTTTCTTTACGTGTTAGTGTCATGTAATTTCTGGATTTTCTATAGTTTTGGGTTCTTTTATGTTTAAAATTATCTTTGAATTTTATAATTTGGCTTCCAAATGCTAGCAACAAACGGTAATATAAGTTTCTCCTCTAAATGTTAGTCTTATTGTGATGTTGACAACTAATATGTGTAAAAGCGCCTCGTTTACCTATCTGTGTACTTTATGATGAGTGATTGGTTGGCTATTTTGGTGATCAGGTTAAATTGAATCGCGAAACAAGAGCCTGGATTGGTGTTCGTCCATGGCATCATGAATTTCAGTGCAATTGGTTCTTGTTTTGAAGCTTAATTTTCACCTTTTAGATTAAGGATAAGAATGGATAGTAACAAAGATGAGGCTTTAAGATGCATAGGTATTGCCAAGGAGGCAATTATGTCGGGCAATAAGCAGAGAGCGCTTAAATTTATTGGAATTGCACGCCGCCTTAATAGTGAACTAGATGTCAAAGATCTTTTGGCTGCTTGTGAAAATCTTGATGCCTTAACTGCTGATCACCCTAGTGAAGTTGGCAATGTTTCGAGTGAGAAACATGTCAATGGTCATGTCGAATTAGATGAGGTTTCTGATGGGAAGAGGAGTTATACTGAAGATCACGTGCATTTGGTTACACATATTAAGAGCAAGAAGGACTATTATGCAATTCTTGGTCTAGAGAAGGATTGTTCAGTTGAGGAGATAAGAAAGGCATACCGCAAGCTTTCTTTGAAAGTTCATCCTGATAAAAACAAGGCTCCGGGTTCTGAAGAGGCATTTAAGAAAGTATCCAAGGCATTTAAGTGTTTGAGTGAAGATGATTCAAGGAGGCAGTATGATGAGACGTGTTTGGTTGAAGAATTTGAGTTTGATCAGCAGTATAGTCTTAGACGTCGGAGGAGAAGAATGGAGCGTGAGTATTTTGAAGATGATTTTGATGATGAAGAGATTATAAGGGCATTCTTTGGTCAGTCTGAAATGTTTAGGACAGCTTATGCCTACAGGACAAGGACCAACGTCCGTCAGCAGAGAGAGGATTTAGGTTCCTCTGGGCCTAACTTAATTCTCCTCCTTCAATTGTTACCATTTTTGATCATTTTTTTACTTGCTTATCTTCCTTTCTCAGAGCCTGAGTATTCTTTGCAGAAAAACTACTCTTATCAGTTTGAGAAGGTGACAGACAAATATGGGGTAGAATTTTTCGTTAAATCGGCAGAATTTGATAAGAATTATCCTCTTGGTAGTCCTGGTCGAGAGAAAATTGAAGACCGTGTTGTTAAAGATTACAAAAATATGCTTGAACGTTACTGTCATATAGAATTACAGAGGCGACAATGGAACAGGAACTACCCAACACCTCACTGTGACAGGCTTCAAAATTTTGGAGTAGCTTGAGGTCAGCTTACTTTCTTCTGGCTCTTTCCATTCTGTTCTCTGCTGAAAAAGATTTTCAGCATTGATCAATGCAATGACTTTATAATTGTTATACATTATGTGAGCTTTCATGTCATCTTTAGAAACTAAATAATTCAACATCCAGTCAGTAAATTACACATTTAATGCACTATTCTAGATATTGAAACATGCCTATGCAGCCCGACTTCTAGATTGTTGTTCAAGCTTCACCAGGTATAAAAACATGCAACCATCACAGGAAAACATATCTCACATTGAGGTTAGGTGAAGTTATACTATTCTGATTTCTTCTTAAACACCATAAGGAGCATGTATAGAAGGCCTGTGGATATTCTCAAGAATAAAGTATGGACATTTAAGCAATTTAGATAAACAAGGACACATCAACTTATTTTCTTTTCAGCAATTGCAATCTTTCATCCATTTTTTACCCTTTCTCCCTGTGAAGATAAAATGACATAGAAATTTTGTTTGCTTTTACTATGTCAGTCCCATTTTAACGTTCACTTCAGTTTGTGTGATTTTATTTTTTGTGTAACGGAACTATCTATTGCAACTCAACTTTGTTGAATGTTAGATTACAGTTTGCATGAAAATATTTTCTTTTGGAAAAGGAACTGCCGATTGCAACTTAACATTGTTGAATGTTAGTGCCATAGTTCTATTGAAGTCCTTGAATGTTATTGCATTAGTTCTATTAATGTTGAAGTCCTCCTTTTTGTCCTTGCTGAGGGGAAGGAGTCTACCTTTAAAACTTCTGAAAGTCACCTTTGTAGTTTTATCTTTCAAGATAGTATAAATCTTATACTTGTTGAATCCTACTGCTATGTTCATTCTGTTACATCCTATGTTATCTGTTATGACACTATTGGCCCTGTAATAAGAAATATAATGCTGCAAGTATGATTAAACTAGAACCTGCTGGTGTTGAATGTTGTTTACAGATTTGTTATCTGTTGTGACACTATTTGGCTTGTAGTAAGAAATATAATGCTGAAAGTACGATCAGACTTGAACCTACTGGTGTTGAATATTGTTTACAGGGTTTGTTTTAGTTCTTCAGTCATAACTATTACCGTGGAGGGAGCGGAGGGAACTTAATTGCTAATAAATTTGCATCCTTTATGATTGACCTTTAACATGGTATGGGGATTGGAAGAATGTGGAGATGGAGAGAAAGGTTTTATTCTGTGGCCTGGGTGTTGGCATTCTAATTATTTTGAATTCCTGAAAGAAATGAAAGTGACACACTGAAGAACGATGTAATGGGGTATCTTTTCAAGAAATCATAAAGAGTGCTAAATTATTTGTTTCCATTGGCTATAACTTTAAGTAAGATCTTATTTATTCATTGGATTGTTTGGAAGTTTTATATGACATTTAATCATAGATCATCTGGTTTTCATCAAGTTATACGAGTTGGGGTGTGAGCTTCCTTTTTATCTAATGACTTTGGAATTTTGATAGATGTATACTTTTTCTGTAGCTTGTCTTCTTAGCCCCTGATTCTTACTATATATGCATATTTTTTCTTACAGCAAAGCTTTTCTAGCTCCAGCAATTTTTTCCTATTTGTCCTTGAGTAATGTTCTCCACGTATACATGGATATAGCTGGAGACTGGTTTCTGGTTTTCTTTCTAGTGTTAAAATAAGAATGGTGAGGTGTGTACGAGATATCGCTGCAGTCCACTTTGATGGATAACTTCTGCACTCTGAAGGCTTTCCCAAATGCATAGTAATAGGCACTTATCTCGGGGAATAGCGTTATTTATTAACTCATGACATTGATTCATGCAGACATGACAGGTGTTTAACGGGCGGGCTGGGACGGGCTGTACACAAAAAAATTCAGCCCGTCCGTTTAACGTTCCGGACTGTTAGCGGGTTGTACTTTTTCGGGTTTGTTTTTGTCCTTCCGTGTTCGGGCTGGACCGGCCTTTTTTTTTTTTTTAAAGTAAATGTTATTTTTCTTATTCAATGTTATTGATACTTAAGTGTTTGCAAATTTTTAAGGCTTAGAATTAAACTTTGAAGTTTAAAGTTTTAAATTTGAAATTTGAATTTTAAAATTTTAAAATTGAAATTTGAAAGTAAGTAGCTACAAAAAATTATTTAATAAGACCAATAGGCAATATGTAAGGATCAAGCTCCGAAGGATTTCATTTGATATTTTTATTGAATAATATATAGTACTTCAAATTAAGTTGCAAGTTCTTTTTTGATTTTTTTATTTTTGAACTTGCAAATTAAAAATTTACAACAATTATAAAAAATAAAAAATAGTACATCACATGCTTTGCATCATTTTTTAAGTTCATCTAGGTCAACATGAGGTTCTTTGAATTTGACCGTTGGCAACGGTCCAGAAAATAAAAAAAATTTGTAACGGATACCGGGTTGAACCGGGCTGTAACCCGTTAAAAACCCGTTAACGGGTTAGCAGGCTTAGCAGGTTCCGGTGCACCGATATCAAAAAACTGTTCGTTTGAAACCCGCTCTCCGCCCAACCCGTCCCAGCCCGCCCAATGCTACAGTACCGGACGAGTTAAGCAAGAATTGAGAGCAAAATAGCAAGCATTATTGCAAGCATTGCTCGGAGCTCATTTGAGGCTCATGTGAACTCTGACGCACTAGGATTTGGGTCTTCTGGTTGTTCTCTTTGCTGGTGATATTCGAGCTGTTTCCGACACTTAGCCTTCTCTTCTATTTGTTTGTTGAATCTGCAAACTGGTGAGTGTCTTGACTTTTGCAATTCTATCCTCTTTTGCTTGTTTCCAGTGCTTCGCATATCCATGTTGTTCGAACCAATATGACTCCAATATTGTGTTGTAATCATTGGCAGTTTTACCTGCATTATAGCTATTCTGCAGTTCCGAATCTCCTAGTGTCACAACCTCCCTAATTATTTAAACTCATATGTGTTCAGCTTGAATGACTTTGTATCTTTAAGTTTGTTTTGTTGTTCTGCTGTTTATTATGAGTTTTTCTCACGCCTTGTTTTGGATTCTCGCATTGAGATTCCTAGGGAATCATCTCTTACCCAGAATTTGCCTTAATGAACTTCTATTGATAACTCCTTTATGTGAACTCTGTTTTTATATCTGCTTACATGAACCTTAATTGTTGTCGCAATGTTTAACCAAACATATGGCTTTAAGAATTGTAATGTGATGTTTAGCAAACTCTGTGCTCTTTAGTATTACCTAGGTTCCCAGTTGAATCCTAATACACGTGTTTTTCTATATTGTGCCTGGTTGACTGGTTTAAGTTCTGATATCTGTCTGCTCTGCTTGACCTTAAGTTGGCAATACGTTCTACCATGATATTTTTGAACCTGGGAACCTCGGTGTTACACTCAGCACAATTAAGATTCTATTAGCTGCTATTGACCATGCCTACTTGCTTGTTTACTTGCCATTCTTTGACTATGATTATGTTAGACCTTCATGCCTTAAATTCCTAGTTTTGAGTCTCTTTTAGGATAATTCATGCTTTACTATAATCTTGTTGTTCTGAAAACTAAGCATGTATGCTTACTATGTTGACCTAAGTGATATGCCTTCTCAACTCTGCTAATGCTGCACATGTTATACCCTTTCGCTTGTTATGAACCTATATTATCAGTCTTTATGCTAAAACAACTCTATTAAGGTTGTTCTCCCTTGACTCTTCAGCTTTCATAATTAGATCTCCTACTTGAAATTAACTTGAGCTATTTTTGACCATATTAATGTTTGAAACTTCTTTAGAAGTAGTCTGTTATCATGTGATAATCAATCATGTCCCCTAAACTTGGAAAATTCAAGCATGAACTTGTCTTGTGTGTGTCCTACCAACATGTCACATGAATTTGTCTATACGTCTTGGTGATAATTAGCTTTACAGTTCTAAGAAATAGGTGTGCGGACTTCCTTCCTCATTTAGTTAGTTCAACATATAATCTGTTGCTTGTAATCATGTGTGAATCCTTCGTTTGGGCTTGGTGTCTGTTCTATGTGATGTTGGGCTTGGCTGTTGGATTCAGACTTATTGCTGGTCTTATGAGCTGGGTTTTGAGTTTATTGGAGCTGTCGAAGGCCTATGAAAAGCACTGGGTTATCTGTGCTGGGCCTATCATTGGGCATATAGTTGTCTACTTCTATAGCTATTCATATTTAATTTCTATTATTTCATTCGGGCTGTAATAACTTGTAATAACGAATGATGAGGAAGTTAATGAAAAGGGCGGAGGTATTCTAATGCTTGCATAATAGGGTAGAAAATATGCTTATAGGGTATATGTGTTCTATTTGTTATTTCGTTCAGCATACCTTATATGTTATTTAGTTTAGTATGTTGTACACTTATGGAAAGCATGCCTATAGGAAATTACGCACTTCACTTAGCTTGTCTAATACTTGTACACCACTAAAAGCATGTTAGTTTAAGCATTTGATGTACTTGTTTCTCATTGTGCACGTTTGGACAACATGCCTATAGGATGCAATAGGATGTGCTTGGCTAGTCTATATACCATGTCTATAAGGATCCAACTAATCAATCAATCAGTCGCCTCTATTGCTTTTAGTATACTGCTCGCCTAGATATCATGACTATTGAACCTTAATCAATCAATCGACTACTTCCGTTACTTTCACCACACTGCCCCTCCTTAGATGACATGCCTCTAGGGATAAAGCATTATAAAATCAATTTCAATTGTCAATTGTTAGAAATTCTCCCTATAGGATATTGTCACCTGCATAAGAAACATGTTGATAAAATCAGTGTCGTAAACCCTCAGTTTTCGAACAGCCTTACTCCCTCATCGCACGAACAATATAGATGTCATTCCTATAGGTTTGCAATACCTTTGATCTGCAAATTCGTTAGTTTAAAGTTGCAACACTGCCTGTACAATGCTGGAAATCAGAATCACATAGAAACTATGCCTATAGGACTTAATGACTCTAATGCATCTGAAATTGTCTACTGCCTGCGTGCATTTGTTGTTTATGTGTGGATGTTAACTTAAGCCTTTAATTGTACTTATGTGTAGTCCTACATGTTTTTGAATGTGCGCTAGTTTTATCGTTTTGAGCATTCTAAGTGAAGTCTAGAACCACTTAAATAGAGGTCTAAAGCCTCGTGGACCATAGGTATGGGACGGGGAGTGCACGCATAGGGTACGACCCAGAAATTGAATTAGATCGCCTTTAGGTAAACAACTTTAACATAGTAATCGAGTAGCAGGAGATGATAGTCTGTGCCCGCTGAGTAATATGAGCAACCCCTACCTCAAAGGAGTTGCGAAGTATTATTTATGTTGCACGGGGGTGATCCTTTAGGCTAAAAAATTTAGGACCTCCCTTTCTTTATGTATTTGTTATTTACACTTAGTCATTTAACATAAATCGATGTAGTTGTATCTCTGTAGTCATTAAGATTTGTGCCGATTCTCACGTGCCCCAATAAGACTCTTTGACTTCTAAATTTTCCTTTATTTATTTCATCACCTAGTCTAATTACATAATCCACATAGTTTAAAGTTTGGCCGGGACCCACAGTTGTGGACCTCGAAGAGTGCCTAGCACCTTCTCTTTGAGATAATTTGAGCCCTTACCCATTCTTTAGTGACACGGACTAGTCAAACAGAGTTACTTGCAAATAGGTACCCTAACGCACCTCAAAATCGTTAGGTGGTGGCTCTTCTCTTTTAATACCCATTTAAAAGAGTTGTCACACATCGAAACCTGCTTTCGCGAGAAAACGGTGCGCGACAGCATGGCGACTTTGCTGGAAAAACGTTAAGCTCTTACCATAAATGAACTTGACTTATGTGGATTACTTTCTTTAACTGCTATTACATGCACATCCCTTCCTTTATTCTCCTTTATTTGCTATGACATGTATGATCTCTCCTCATCTCCTTCATCTTGTCTAAGACTGCTATATTATGACTCTCCCATCCCTATTTCCCTACCTGCTTCATTACGTTCTCGCTCATTTTTCATGAGCTAAACTGACTTCTCTCTTTTGTCTTTATTTTCTTTTCTCCTCATGTTCACTTTTACTATTTACTGCTTTTACGTACTTTTATCATGCAAATACTTGGCAATGTATTATTATTTTTGCACAAAGCATGCTCCACATCATACTCCACTCGTGCCAATTGTTAACATAGCGATGCTTGATGAGTGTCCGCGCTTTCCTGTAATCACCCTTCTTAAATTGGAAAGGCTTATTTGCGGCAGACTAGTCGATCAGCGGTGAAGTCGACGGTCCCGTGTCTTTCCCTCTCAAGGTGTCCACTTGGGAGTACCAGTCTAGGCCCTTCTAGAAACCCTACTCCAATTTGAAATGTACATGCATCATGCTAAACCTAGTACGGGTTGAAGTGTTGTTAACATAACAACCCGCTAAGATGAGCCCTGTCCAAAGTCCGACGGGATTTCCACAATCCCAGTGGACACTATCATATTGTGTGCATTACTTGGAGAAAATGTGCTAACGTGTTGATCATTATTGCGTAAGTAGTCAAATCCAGAGGGGGGAAATGGCTAACCTTTGTTTGTTTGCAGAAAATGAAGCACAAAATCCCCAGGTTCGGTATGATCCAGAATATCCCGCCTTTGCTACTTGACTGGTGGAAAGACCTTGCGCCTTGTGACAAGAATCATATGAGGAGAGTACTTGGTGACCTACCCTCTTTGTTGAGCATTCAACCAAATAGGGAGCTGATCGAGGATGCCACCATGTTCTGGGATGAGAAATGAGTTGTTTTCCGATTTGGCAATATAGAAATGACTCTTTTCCTAGAAGAAATAGGAGGTTTCGCCAAGTTGCCATAGGATAGTCCAGGATTACTGGTACCAAAGAATCGTACTCCTCGCAGTTTTTTGAAAATTTTGGGTTTTAAGAAAAATGACAAACTGCTCTATCTAAAGAAATCATAC